TAGAGATACAAGCGTTAAAAAAAAAAAAAAAACTCTGTTTAAGTCTGGTTATAAGGGAGGTTTTAGCCCAAATCTAAAATTATTTAAAATTATTAATTACATAAAACAAAAAATTAACAGTTGTAGTACTATCTTTAGAGATTGTATAAAAGAATAAAAATTTATTATATCATTTAACAAAAAAAAAAATAGAGAAATTAATTGCGAGTCTTAAAACTGCAATAGTCTGTCTCATGTTTACTGTAGGGAGACTAAACCTTATTGCTCTTTGGTTTTAAAACATTACGAATTATGTATTTTATTGCATTTCTTCCAATAATGCCTTTTGCATAGTTGTCATGATTTTTAAAAAAAATTTACTGTACACTTATTTTCAATAAGAAATATGTTAAAATGAATTTCCAACTAATTTACAACTTGCAATCAATTGATTTTCTTTTTTTCTTTAACCTGAAAATTATATTTTATAAAAAAAATAAAATTTCTCAGAAAGCACTATATACAGAAGAGCAATCATTATATTTATATCATTTTTATCCTTTCACAGATAATTCCCTTCTTTATTATATTTTCAAAAAAATATCAATGTCTTAAATCAATTTTGAAACAAAACAGTAGCTTATTATTAAAATATATAAAGCAAATAATCAAAATTAATTCATATTCAAAATCTTAATTCTCAACTGCAAATGAAAAATTACTATATAATGAATATACGTTAATTTGAAATGGTTATCTTTTTTTCAAATTATAAAGGCAAAGTAGTCAAAAAAATCTATGAAAAACTTAGTTATCAACAGTAAATAAACTTGTTTTAAAAAGAAAAGTTATAATTTGTTATGATGGAATAAACAAAACAAAACAAAAATATCTTACGAAATTACTGACAGATAAAATAGTTATTAATTATTAAAAAATCATTAATTTTCTTAATTAAGTAAAAAAGGTTGGGGAAATTTAAATGCAAATACCATCAAAAATATTTAAAATCTTTGTTATAAAATATTCCTAAGATAATATCTCATGTATTATAGATAAAAATATTAATAAAGTGTATTAACATTGTAATAAACATCGAAATACATAAAAATGTCAATAATTGTGTATATACTATAGTTGACATACTATACATTTTATGATTATCATCGATATCTATCAAAATAAGTTCTGCATTGATTAGCAAGATTCAAATCATAAGTTAATGGAACTAAAATATAGATATATACTATCCTTAAAAAAACTTATTTTAAAAATTCTATTTATTGTTAGTATATAAATTGTTGACATATAATATATATTTAGTGATTATTATCGAACTCCATCAATATATGTCACGTATTAACTAACAAGATGCAAAAATTAAGTTAATTAAACTTATATTAAAAATTATTCTAGAGAAACTTTTATTTTAAAAATTCATACACAATAATACAATTTTCAACAAAGGAAAAAATTAATAGGCTTAATTAAAATATTCTACTCGAATGTTTCTAAAGTAATTAAATTTATAGGTGTTTCCTGCGTATGGTTTCAATTATATCAAAATAATTATGAAAAATTTTCAAGAAGCTCACTTGATACAATATCACTTAAAGATTCCATTCAATAACACAAGCGCGAAACACCCAAACAAGCGAACTTGGCACATTCCTAAAGAACAACAGAGGTGTGCGTAGTTTCGAGCTCAAATGAAAAGTGATTTCATAAACAAAAAAAGGATTTCGCGTGTTGGGGTGTCATTATTGAATTCCAAGTACCTATCAAGATTGAACGGTACTTAGTTTTGTTGAGAAAGTAAGAAATTATCTCTAAAAACCCCAGCTGATGCCAGGGACGCGTAACCATGACAGTCACGTGACTGACGTCATAACAAGACGGAGACGAAACAGAAAGGTGAGTGATTCCCTAGATGCGCCAATTCATATCCTTGATCGCCAAATGGTGGGATGCTTATGAGCCAAACTAAAATGTTTGCTTTTCCTTCGGGCTATCAAGTGATAAGAAAAGGTCAGTTTGATTTGATGAAAGATTAATAACGGTGGATAGAAAAAAATACTATTGAAAATTAGTTATCGAATAAATAATATTTTTATTTGGAAGTAAAAAATATGTATAACTTTTAAATGTATCTAAATATTTAAAAATAATTCTTCGTTTTTAATTATTATTATTTTAAATAAAACTTCACTTTTTAAGCGTGTTTGTATCATTTAAAAAGTATAAGTGTATAAAATTCTCTTAAATAATTCAGTAACTTGGAATTCTTTTAAACTAAACGCTGAAAATTTAAAAAAAAAAGATAAAATTTTCAACTTTTTTACTAAATGAATGAAAAAAAAAATCAGCAAAAATTTACTAAAATTACAAAAAACAAAAGAAAAAAAATGATGAGATGAAAAATTAACTTCAAAATAAGCAAATTATAAAGTTACGACATAATGAACGTGAAGTTATAAAAATAAACGGTGTTAAATACTATGTCGGACTAAAATTAAATAGAAATGTGGAACGGAGAAACAAATTAAATAAAAGTACTGACTAGAGCATTTCGGAATCATGGGACCTGTGTTTATTAGCTGGAAAAAAATATACAGATCCCGAAAGAAATGTTGCAGATTATTAGCAAGGAAATTGCAGATTAAAACTGATTTTTTTTTTTTTTTTTGCATAAATTTTGTAAAATTTTTATCGATATTAAAAAAAAATGGTAATAATCATAACAATAAGATGCATAGATGTCGTCGTTTTTCATTACCTTATAAAGGTGAAATATATGATACAAACTTCCCTCATTCCCTTATTGAAACATTTCTCAAACAAATTTAATTAATCTGTTTCAAACTATCAATTTAAATTAGCTTCATGTTTATTTTATTAGCATTGTAACAAATTCATTTTCTTCCTAGCATTGAAAAAAAGTTTAACTTTTCTTCGTTAACATTAAAAAAATTTTCGTCATTTTTAACATCAATTGAACTTTATTTGTATAAGCATAACAGTACTACTATTAGTAAAAGAGATTATCGCAGCAATAAGATGCATACATGGTCGATTTTGATAACCTTATATGAGGTTGAAACATAAAATACGTACGTTCACCGGTTACAACTTTTCAAACGATTTTAATTAGACTCCGCAATTGTGTTTATTTTACCACGACACAAAAACTAAACGGATTATATATTAAATTTTATAAAAGACCATTGTAAAGTTGAATGCCATAGATGATGCATTGGGTAGCTAACTATTTGGCGACCTTCAAAAATACTTTTAAGACTTTTATCTGATGATTTATTTCAAGGCTTTTCGAACAACCAAAAGCCTCCACCCACTGCTTCAAAGCGATTGAATGAGGAGTTGCCAGATCGTATAATAACACGATTTAAAAAAAACGATTTTTTCTCCTATTCATCATCGCATCTTCTTATTAAACTAAAAAGCTGAACACAATAGCAAATAATCAGTATATTAACTTTAAATCTCTTCATGAAATATAAATGAATGAAGCGAACAATAGATACCTGTTTTATACTGATCATTTATTTAAAAAAAAAAATAGTGATGCATATGGAAACAAAAAGTAGAGATTTATTTAATATTTTACTAAATTTTTATTTTCTTTTGTATTTCAATACATCTAAAAAGATAAAGTAACTTGGCGTTACTTCATTTATTTATTAGCCGTGAAAATACAATAGTTTATTTTGAATAGTTAACAGTATCTGGTTGTTATTCTAAATTTCAATTCAATGCATATGCCAATTACAATGCACAAAAAAGAACACCTAATTTTTTTAATGATAGGATTTTAAATCTAATAATGATAGGTACCTGCAATCTTGAAATTACCATCCCTATGATTTAGCTAAGGGATCGGTCAAAAGTTTTGACCGATTATGAATGAATAATAATTGAATGGTAAAAAATAATGAATGAATCTTTCAATTCATTATTTTTTTATTATACTATAAGGCTTCACCCCCTGTTCGCTCTGCTCACCAGCCTCGTAATTGCTTCTCATTCGTCGTTTATTATTATTATTATTATTATTATTATTGTCCTACAGAGCTTAAAATTTGCTTTTAAACTGGAAAATGTTATAAACAGTTGGGACTGGGTCGAACCTACTCAAAAGCAGGGAAAACTGCTTTTCCGTGAAAACTAAACAAATATCAATCCCTTCCTCCAAAAAATTGTGTAGCCAATTCTGTTGAGGTAAAATATTGACATAAATCAATCACTATCTTTCAAAGGGGAAAAAAACGATACTATTCTAATGCAAGCTTAAGTTTTGTTACCATAACAATTACGCAGGTCACCAGTTACCGACAATACACATAGACGTATCAAATACGGAAATATCACGATCATTAGTGATAATTATTTACGAATACGATAATATCGTGATCATTATCGAAAACATGCCAAAAAGACGATGCCTGAGACAATTACACATAACGATTATTTAATACGATATAACTATGAGTGTTGTGAAACTATATTTGAGTATCAAAACTAT